CATTTTTAGTATGTGACAACGTTATTGCTCGATTCTTCTAGAATTCTAAGTAGAAACTGTATTTCCAAATATTTCTATTGTGGTTGCGTGTCATGTGACTTCGACATTGCAAGTTTCTCGTCTAAAAGGTCCTTTCTGTCCAAAAGATTTATAAGGTTTAAGAGGAGAATTTTGACAATAAGGATGATTAAGGCAAAAGGTGAATTAAGAGGGTTTAAACAATATAGTTTATTCTAATCATATAGACGATTAATAGGTATTTTATCATAATAAAGGCCGTTTTTGACTTATAAGAGAAAGACGAGTCCTGCTTTTCTTAATACAGAGTCTCTTAATATATCAAAGTCTCCTACATTTGCATACAATATATATAGTTTACAAATTGCATTCGCCAATTTCCTACTAGAAATATCAATAAACCCACTCGTCGAATTTAACACGCCCATAAACCCTATAAGCTGGTTCAATTGTTTGGCTAACCGTTTCGTGTTTTTACTGTTTATTATTCTTTGAAAGTGAACATGCGCAACAATTTTGTAACTGCCATAGATGTATTCATAAATTGAACAAAATTTTGTTATATCAATGATAATAAAACGGGCACGAAGAATTTCAACGCTATGTTCTATTGTGCTGCATCAAAGTTTTGTAATATTGACTTTTAATTAATAAGATCTAAAGCATAATTAATTGATATCTGAAATTTGCCAAAGTTGTTGATAAAACATAATTTACTATGTCAGATAATTACATCTTTTACCAATTTTTGGTACATAATTATTATTTGGACATTTTGTAATAGAAATGGAGGAAACACTTCCACAGAGTTCCTCTCTTTCTATACATCAATGATCATTACCATTTCTATTACGCAATACCTGATACGTATATTCATTTGTATCAAATAACCCAAATTTTTAGCTCATTGTACGTAACAACCTTAATTTTTAACTCTCTGCACCAAATAAACCACCTAAATAGCCACATTCATTTATTTGACATTGTGATGCAAATACAACCTGATTTACCTTTCGTACATCAGGATTTATGTGTTACTATGTTTGCAGAAACTTGTAGATGGTATAAATAAAATCTGAGAATGGTAAGAAGTTAAAAAATAATTATTTTTCGACCTTTTTCGCGAAAAATGAATTCAAAATGTTTATTTCTTGGACGAAGATACTATCAGGTTTGAAAGATATATTTTTAAAAATGTACGTAGGAACATTATCCTGATATCTTTATTTTTAATCACTTTTATCAAAAAAGTTGGCACAATCAATCAATCAATCCCGTTTATTTCATCTGAATTTTCGACGATCATTGGCTACAATTACTGATCAATCTAAACTTTCGATTCCTGAACCGAAAGATTGTTCTAAAATAACTCCAAACTATGCAAAATTGGTTGAAAATTTGTCAATTGTTCAAAAAAGAATTTTTGGTGGTCAACCTTTAACTTTAGCAGAAAAAATATTATACGCTCATTTATGGAATCCAAAAGAAATCAGTAATATTGTCAAAGGTGAAACTTACTTGCAATTGAAGCCTGGTATGTTTTAATTTGTTTGTTTTGTTAGGTTTGATTTTTTTAAAAACATAAACTTGTATAATTACATTTTGATTACATAATGTGAATAGATAGAGTCGCAATGCAAGATGCGTCATCTCAAACAGTCATTCTTCAATTTATGCTTGCTGGAATGCCAGAAACAGCTGTTCCAACATCTATTCATTGTGACCATTTGATTGAGGCATATGAAGGAGGTGACAAAGACGTGAAGGTTCATATTTGAATTTGGGGGATATCCTTGAAAATATTATTCCATGACTGAAAAATTTCGTCGACAATATATCATCAAATTCATAGGCTTTAAGTATTCGCTCATCGCTATTGTCAATGAATTTGATGTTACATTCGATGTCACTTTTTCAATCATGTTACAAGGACAATAAATAATCTATTGGTTTATTTTCGCACATTAAAGACAGCTGAGGTAACAAGTAAAGAAATATTTGAATTCTTGAAAAGTGCGTCAGAAAAATATGGAATAGAATTTTGGAAGCCAGGAAGTGGAATTATTCATCAAATTGTTTTAGAAAATTACGCTGCCCCTGGTGCCCTTATGATCGGAACTGGTAATTATCTATTTTACCATTTTTAATCTATTATAATTTAAGATAACATGCATGATTTTTAATCAATTCTCTATGAATCTCTCATGAATTAAATTTAATGTAATTAGATAGTCATACGCCAAATGCTGGTGGTCTTGGAACAATAGCTATAGGAATTGGTGGTGCAGATGCTGTTGACGCCATGGCAGATATTCCATGGGAACTTAAAGCTCCAAAAATAATTGGCGTAAAATTGACCGGAAAATTGAATGAATGGACAAGTCCTAAAGATATAATATTACATTTGGCTGGAAAATTAACCGTTCAGGTGCATATCATTTTTTATCATGTATTTTTTAAAATTATTCGGTTTTTTTTTTTTTTTGTAGTTTTTTTTTTAGTAACAAATCTGATTAAATATTTTCGTAATTATAGGGTGGAACCGGTCATATAATTGAATATTTTGGTACAGGAATTGAAACTCTGTCTTGCACGGGAATGGCCACAATATGTAACATGGGAGCTGAAGTATCTATCGCTTCTATCTTGAATATGTTGGTCTAAGTTACATTACTAAACACGTATATTTTTTTTAGGTTGGCGCAACTACTTCTGTATTCCCTTTTACATCAAGCATGTACTCATATTTATCTGCGACTAGGCGTCATCCAGTTGCTAAACAAGCTACTTCTTATGCATCATATCTTAAAGCTGATGACAATGCTCGTTATGATCATATTATTGAAATTAACCTATCGGAACTTGAACCCCATATTAATGGTCCCTTTACTCCAGATTTATCAACACCTCTTAGTAAATTCGCTGACTTTGTTACGAAAAATGGTTGGAAAGATGAAATAAAAGCTGGACTAATAGGAAGTTGCACTAACAGTAGTTACCAGGTTTTTTTTTTTTTTTTTACAGATTTTCAAGCTTATTTATAATTTATGACAATGTCTAGTAATGTCTAGTATATATGAACTAAACATATAAAATACGCGTAGGACATGAGTCGTGTCACTAGCTTGGTAGCACAGGCACTCGATAAAGGTGTACGTCCAAAGAGTGACTTTTTTATTACTCCAGGAAGTGATCAAATTCGTGCGACAATGGAAAGAGATGGGCAAACTGAAATCTTGCAGAAAGTTGGTGGCCGTGTTTTAGCTAATGCTTGTGGGCCTTGTATAGGGCAGGTAACTATATTCTTTTTCTTAGATTTGCATCCATCAAATTTATTTGGACACTGGGATATTTTCAATAGTGGAAAAGAACGGATATTCAGGAGAATGAAGAAAATGCTATCTTAACTTCATTCAATCGTAACTTTAAAAGTAGAAACGATGGAAATCCAGCAACAATGAACTTTTTGGCGTCTCCAGAGGTAAGTCTTTTAATTATAAACCCTGCAATTAATAAAATTAATTTCATCCTTGATAAATATATATATATAGATTGTGACAGCCATGACATTTGCAGGTAGATTAACATTCAATCCGATAACAGATACATTAGTAGACAAAGATGGTAAAGCATTTCAATTTTCAAGTCCATCCGGTGAAGAATTACCAAAACATGGATTTGAAAGAGGTAACGTACAGCATAAATACATTTTATATTTTATTTTTAAAACAATTCGTTTTATAATGATTTTTTATAGGGAGAGAGTTTTATGAGCCATCACAGGTTTCAGCAGGCAACCCATCAACGCAAATTATAATCCCTCCGGATTCAAATCGACTTCAATTATTAGAACCATTTCCAATATGGCATGGAAGTGAATTTCATGAATTACGCGTTTTAATCAAAGTAAAAGGCAAATGTACAACGGATCATATATCTGCAGCTGGACCTTGGTTGAAATTCAAAGGACACCTAGAAAATATTTCAAACAACACTTTGATTGGCGCATTGAATGCCGATAACGAAAAAGTTAATGTTGTAAGAAATATTTTGACTGGAAAGGTATGACAATTCTAACTTATTAAATGCGTGTGTTATCTAGATAGGATCTAGATAGATTTTAATCCTTTTATTTTCAGGATGGAACCATACCAGAAGTTGCACGTTATTATAAAGAAAATAACATTCAATGGATCGTTGTAGCTGATGTATGTATGATCTTTCAAAAACAAAGCCTATTAATTGATTATTTATTTAAATTTATTTTTATTTTACCAATACATATGAAGCATAATTATGGTGAAGGATCAGCCAGAGAACATGCAGCATTGCAAGTTCGCTATTTAGGTTGCCCAATAATCATTGCAAGGTCATTTGCAAGAATTCACGAAACAAATTTAAAGAAACAGGGGGTGTTACCATTAATATTTAAAAATGAAGATGATTATAATTTATTATCTGGCGGTGATAGTATCTCTACAATCGGTGTTGTAGGATTAGAACCAGGTAAAGATGTAACGATTAGAATCAGAAAAGAAAGTGGTGATAAGAAAAAGATTGAAGAATTTGATATTTTAACAAAACACACAATGTCGGAAAATCAGATTGAATGGTTCATTATGGGAAGTGCTTTAAATCTTATTGCTAGTAAACAGAAATCTGGCAGTATTTGACAATTGGATTAGCGTTTTAAACGTCGAATATTGAGAAATTTTGATTTTATTGTCTTGACATGTTGGAACAGAATTATTTGTGCATATATATATATATATATATTTATCATCGCAGAATTATTGCAGAATATACGAATAAATTATAAAAAAAAATAGTACTACGTTCTTAATCCCTCCCGTAATATTTAATTCTCGTTATAGTGAAGTGATCGGGCTGTGAAGTTTTCTTTACTATATCGAATCTATTAGTAAATTTTGAGTAATTTCACTATATCGAGAAGGTTTTTATATAAATTGTTCTTCACTATAAAGAGAGGGATCTCTTGCAGTATAGATGAGACTATTATAATTAATCAATTGATTTAGAATAGGTATCATCTATATTGCAAGAGATCCAAAGAGAGTAACTTTAAAAGTAAAATATTTAATGAAAGGTATCTTTATAACGTAACAACGATAGAATTTTATTTTACTAATTAAAATATATTATGGCTTAACGGGTATCGTACAATTTACAAACGTATGATCTGGGTCTTTTATAAAAATTTAACTATGTACAAAAGATATGCTTACCGAAGCTCTCTTAACGTGTTTTTTAAACTGATAACCCTTTTCACTTCATCTTAACGTTTTCCCAACTATTTCAGATCACGTTAGTATAAATTTTTTAAGTCTAAAACATGTTTATTAATAATGAGTTTTTATTAATAAATATTAATTATTACATTAATGTAATGTAGTCTGTAAATTACTAATTAATCAACTTAAAATAAGTCATTAATTATTTCTTTCACGTTGATTTAGTTAACGGAGCGTAAAGATTATTAAGTTATTCAAGTTCTTGGTTAGTGAAGTAAAGCTATTCAGGTTCATTTTTTACGTGAAATATTATGGGTTAACATTAAATGATGCTTGTTTATGATAATTCAAACGCTTTATTAAAATAACGATCGTGACGAAAATGACGTGAACGTCAAGGCTCTATAGTATTATTGTAATTTGTCATTTCTTATGGTATTTATACTAATGCGTTTCCATTTCAATTATTACATATTGTATGTTACTGAACTTTATTTCTAACACTTACACTTAATGTTTGCGTTACTAATTTCGTATCATACTTTGATCTGTAGCCAACAAAAAAACTTGGGAACATGGGTGGTTGTGATTGATATTCTACAATTGCATCCTTTTCTTAACGCTTGCACACATTTATTAACACTTAATCTCTCATCGATTGTTCATGCATGCGTGGTATAGCAGTATAGACCACTAATCATTTAAGTTAACGCGTTAATAAGACAAAATTATTACGAAGTTTCAGCTTTACACACATTTGGACACGAATGCCCCAAAATCAGTTATGTTTACAAATTTAATTATATTTTGGCAGTTAATTATTATATGGCAAATTTGTAATATTACTTTATTATAATATTCATTATCTTACATACTTTTGCTTTTATTTTTTTACTTGAGCAACGTTAAAACCGAAACTTGAAGAAAGTACGATGTTACAAAGGTACTACAAGTTTCGTAATAGTGAAACGACGAGTGAAGCGGTTTTGATTTGTTGTATATACAATAGGCTTTTATAAAATTTTACATATACTTAAATTTGTTTTAAGATAAAATTAACACGGAAATAAATAAATTTTTTCTAAAAAAGAGATCAAAATTCTTATAATTTTTAATAAGCCATTCTCGAATATAGCGTAAAAAGAGTAGCATTTAATTTTATTACAAAAGAAATGATACATTATTATACAAAAAATGATTTAAATACAATGTATATAATGTTATATATTTATAAATTATATTGTTACAAGTTAAATTTTAATTAATGTCAAATTTCATTATTACTATCTTCTTCGCTATCGCTTTCGTTTAATACAAAGAACGATCTAGTTCTTGATAATTTTGTTTTCCGTCTAATTAAATAATTCGTCATAAATACACGTTCTTTCACACTTCTCCTAATTTTTCCAAGTAGTGTATTATATTCATGATAATCGTCAATAATTTTTCCTCTCGTTATCCTCCATTTTCTCGGTACTACTTCTACTTCGCCAATTTTTCGTTTAGAACTGGATTGCCGTGCGAATACGACATTATTCAAATATAAATAAATCCTATTTAATACACCACTATGTAAGAACCCATTTCGACCATCATTTTTCCAAATTCCACGATTTTTCAAAAACTTTTCCAATTCTAATCTAGTCATCGGCCTATAACATAAACTGGTTCTATATGCCGGTGAAAAATCTTGAGCATATTTTCTTAATTCTTCAATCTCTTGATTATTTTTTCGCCAGAGATCTTCCCAAAATAAGTACCACCATTGATGAGCTCTCGATAAATTCACTATCCTCATTCTTTCATATAAATAAATGAGTGTTGAATAATCGGTCACTGGTATTTCTTGAACTTTTGGATTTGTTTCGGTGGTCATTAACAAGGTAGGTAAAGTTTCCAATGGTATCGAAGGATTGTCATATATATTTATAAAGAATCCATATGATAAAGTTTCTTCTTTTTGAATAGCTTCATCCCTATAATACTTTCTATATTTTTGCATTATCGACTGAATCTGATCCAAACCTTTAGATACGATTTCATAGTTATCGGTAAACAATCGTTCAAGTTGTGGTGTCATCTGAAAATCATGTGTGATTCCGATAATATCATGACCAACTGTTCGTTCATGGTCAGGGCTAGAATTAAATTCGTTTGTATACGTGATGGTAACTTCGAATCCGGAATTCATATTATGACTATTCCATGTTGATAGTTGATTACATCTGATTTGAAGAAGTCCTCGGTGATAATGCACTTCTGAATTTGATGATGCGCCAAAGAATTTCTATTTTATAAAATAATTAATTTTCGTTTAATTTTCACGAATATGTATATGTATATCGTCCGTAAAAGTAATATGAACGTACCTTTTGAACTTTATTGTATCCTTCAAAGTTGTTATTTTTGTCTCCCTTATTACGACAAGGACCAATAACAACCTTTCCTTCCAAAGCTCTAATCATCTGCCTAACCAATTTCCTTCGCCTCACTTCTTTATTTTCATTCTGATCCACGTATCGTTGAATCTCCCATTCCTGTGTTAATACTACTACACTTTCATCTTCATCATAACACATTACTACACTAAACGGAAATGGCACTACGTACGCTTTACCGAAACATGTTTTTATCTTAATGTTTAAAAATTCGGGTGCATAATACATATCTGGTCCTACATAATTATTTAATATTTTTGTTCTTAATGATACTAAAGAACTAGGTAAAGGGGACAATGATGCAGTATACCGTCTTATTCCAATATGCCTTATAATTTTAAGGTTCTCAACATGTCGTTCTGCTACACTGCCCATAAAATTTAATAAATATGGAGGTCGATATGGTGATTGAGAATATGCTACAATCTTATCTTTTTCCATTTTAAATCTTTCAGATGTTAAAAATAAAGTAGTCCAAGTTTCTTGCCATATACGTCGTTTAATATGTTTCTGAAAATCTAAATTAGGTGAATATATATTGATACTAAAATCTAATCGTTTCTTTATAATTTTTACGAAATTTTGATAAGGTTGTGTCTCTTTAAGTATATACCATACTACTGCTATTCCAATAATACAATTAATAACTATGATACTTATAGAGATTCCCTGATATGGTCCAATTTTTAATACTACAATCATTCCGAGAATTACAGTGATCACATAACCAGATCGTGTCCAATATTCACTAGCATTTTGTGTAGCAATGAGATAGGGTTCGTTTCGCCAGTGGATAAAAAATAATAAGACCATGAGAACAATTTGTATACCTTGACGAATTGATTCTATACGAGTTCGCGGTGTGTTTCGAAATATACAATTATCTTTGGATATTAATGAAACTAAAAGTATGTTAAAAAACTTATTGGCCATTATAAATGATTTATAGGCTACCCATTTTTCGTTATATGCTATATATATATAAATTGAAACAATTAGTTTATATTTAAAGTAATTATTATAATTACAATAAAAATTATTATTAGCGACATACCGTTATACAAAAAATTATAAGGACAGGTATCCTTTTCCAATAACTTTCTATATTCACCATCTACATCTGCAACACTTTCACCAACTTCATTATATTCATCAACCTTAGGTGCATTCTTATCCACCAACTTTTTCAAAGCAAAGGGAAACCAAAAAGTCAATAGTACAAGTGTTACCAATGCAACCCCTATAATTACTGGTGAAAAATTTAGATCACCTTCTCTCATACTAGTAACATAACAAAAATCATTAGGATTTCTATTGTCTGTCATATTATTATAGTAACTAAATTCTGGTGTATCACTATAAATATACGGGTTCGGTATTGCCCAGAATGTATCACCCCATACTAAAGCGTCAATTGAAAGTTTTGATATTGGAAGATAAAGAGTGGTTAACAAGAACGTTATTATTATATTTTGCCGACGTTTTGTTTCTGGACGTAGATTCCATGGCGATGATTCAAGTCCCTAATAAAAAAATATATGTAAAGTTTTACGTGTCAATTTGTATTAATATCAAATATATATATATTTTTAACACACCTCGGCATCAGCGTTAGGATCCCATTTAGTCATCATTCTAAACCAATACAAAGCTCCAAATGCAGTAACACAAAATACCAAAAAGAATGCTATTCCATTTCCAAATACACGATCCAAATTTAAACTAAGTAAGTTTGGAATTGTATCCAATAATATCTTTACCCAACTTTGAAATATTCCGGGATTTCCAAATGACAGTACAAGTGTTAAAAATTGTATAAAATCTCTTATAATTTCAAATTTAGTCAACTTATCAGGTGAAGTTTGAATTCCAATTACTCCTTCTACAGCAAGTACACCATCAATAGCAGCATCCAACCAATCATTTCGTCTTCCTTGTGTCATTTGAATACCAAGGAATGTTGACGGTTTTTTAAGCATATTATTCTCAAGATCTTCTAGAGAAATACCATCAGGAATTTGATGCATTGGTGGAAATATCAATTCTGAGTGTTTAACAGATTTACATTCTTTCACAAACTTTTCATATTCTTCTTTAGTCATTAAATCTTTAGGATCAGAAAATTCGGTAGGCGGTAAACTTTTAATATATTCATCTAAATGAGATAACTGTATCCATGGTGCTCCAGGTTTGAATAAATCGCTTGATTCTGATTTATCAAATATATTAATACTAAATTTTGTTACTTTTGATGGATTTAAGTCAGTATCATTTTTAAAATCCACATTATTAACATTTGCATCCTTCTTTCCAATAGAATCTTTCGTCACAGCATTAACTCGAGTGAAATCTGGCACGGTCACATTATTTTTTCGGAATGCCCTATTGAATTTGGAATGCCTCGTACGTGCTGTAAGATCTGGTACTGAACGATTATTTTTTTTATATTCCACTGATGCAAGGCTATGTGGTACCATAAATGACATTTTACTTTTGGATGAAGTGTATTCTGGCAAATTATGATCTTCGGATCGTTTTGTTTTAATATGTTTAAGGAAAGGATTTTTCTTTAATGTGCTAATTGGTGATAAAGTGGTCCGTTGTGGTCGTACAGAATTATAAGGTGATTTTGGAATTTGTACAGGTTTTAATGTTTTTTGTTTTGTTCGTCCTGTTGATACCGATCTTAAATCATCAGATGAAGCATATGTATGAAAATTTCCTGAATCTCGAAGAGTAACAGTTAATGTATTTGGTAGTTTGTTTGTTGACTTTGATTTCTTAGAACTTGAATAAGAAGTTGATAAAAGTTTTCGTAAAGTGTTACTTGATTTTATAGGTAATTCCAGTTGATTGCTCTTATCAGGGCTTTTATTACTATTCATCGTATGTGTTTCTTGCATTTCCATTATATAAGTCGAACTATCTTGAATTGATGGTAATGTTTTCTTTTTATTTCCTGATTTTTGACCAACCACTTTATACAAGAATGGATTATTGGTTTTTTTCTCTCCAATTTTCGCATCAAATTGTTGGTTTAGGTTGGAATTAAAATCATTTTCAGTTAATTCGGATGAATTAAGATTAAAACTATTAGATGACAGAGGTGGGGATTCACCTTGAAATTTCCAAGGATTTGTATCATTAGCCAAAGATATATTAATAGTTGGTAATGTGTAGTTATTTGATGTTGGATCAGATAACCCGCGCTTTAATGAAGAGGCTAATGTAGATTCTTTATAATTTGATGAATGCTGAACTTTTTGTAATGGATCAAGTTCCAGTACATCAAAATTTAAAGGTAATGTTTGAGATGTAAATAAATTTGAACCTTCATTCTCATTTTTTGTGGTATATATTGGAACTTTTTTTCGAATTGGAGAGATTGAATCTCTTTTGGATTGAATAGGAATTGTTTTTCTTCTATGTGAAAATACAGTAGTTTGAGAAATTATAGAAGGTGATTGAGTATCATCTTTTGGCAAGTCAGGTAACTTCTTTTCAAGCGACGATTCAGGTAAATTATTAATAAAGGAGGACTTTGTTTGCGAAACTGGCTCGGTATCTAATAATATATCATTAATATCTATTTTAACGGGAATTTCATTCGCTGGTGATTTATGTGTTGTTTCTGAAATTTTTTGTTGAATCGGAGATGTTTGTTTTAGCGGCACAGAAGTTGTTATTAGTAGAGGACTTGGTATAGAACGATCTTTCTTAACAGTTTTTATCGGTGATGATGACGATATATTAAGCGGATCCGTCGGAGTTATTATACTTGAGGCTAATATATTATATGACTCTGGATCGCTCTGCGTCATTGATGTAGTGGCATTTATATTAGGATACAAGCTATTATTGATATTATTATTTTTATCATTATTATTATTACTATTATTGTCGATAATAGAAGTTGTGAGTGACAAAGCTGTCAGAGGTGTTGTTGGTAACAAATTTATTTGTTCCAGAGTTGTGATTAATCGTTTCGTCGGTGATAAAGTAGGAGAAGTAGAAGTAGGAGAAGTAGAAGTAGGAGAGGTAGGGGGAGAAGTAACATTTTCAAATCTAGATACTAAATTTGATACTTTTTTATCTCGTGGCATTGACGTGTGTTGAATTGGTTTTGGATTAAACGGTTTATTGAGAAAAGAAATATCTTTTGGTGGAATAGATTTTTTTCGTGAAACCATATTCATAGTGGTATTTTGTGGCAAAGAATCCCAATCCATTCTCCCTCGATCATTTTGATTTTGAATAGTTTTTATGCCAACTATCGAAAGACTACTATCCTTTACAAGGTCTATGTTTGGTGGACTATTATTGGAATTATTATTATTATTATTATCAGTATTTTCATTTTCATTATCTGCAGAATTCGAGCATTCTTCAACTACGATAGATACAGAAGGAGAAATATTTGTTAAACTCGAATTGGAATGACTATTATTATTGATCCATGATCTCGAAGGTAATTGTTCAGAATATTTTTGCGATGAAATTTGTTCTGTAGTTTTCTCTTTTTGTTGAGTAGACCAAAAACTTATTAAATCGTTAACCGGTTTTGTAGTTGGTTTTTTAGACATAATAGATTATCGTTATCGTAACTTAAATGTTTATTATATAGTTGTTATCGTTTTCGTTATGTTTTTGATACATTAAAACATTTTTCTTTAGCAATCCGAGTTTATCAATCGTTCAAAAAGAAAAACCATGAATAGAATAAAATATCATAAAACCATGATTAAAAGGAAAAAAGAAATTATTATTAAAAAAAATTAGGAATTTTTTACTTAGTAAAAAATGATATTTAAAATTGTTAAAATTGATAGATGATATCAATGTTTGAAAATAGACAACGGATGCTTTTTTTGGATATCAAAGATTTACTGCAAATTCGATTAATGATGATAACAACTCCTTTTTCTTTTAAACGATTAAAATTCTTTTCATCATAAAAAAAAACTATTGGATTGTTTAGTTTATTCAGAGAGCAAATTGGTATAATAAACGGAGTAAGTATATGGGATAGAAGAAAAAAATAATACGGCATATATATTTTTCATGTAATTACCCCCTGAACACAAAATCCCTTATTTTTTTATAATTTTCATCTTCTAGGTAGAACACGTGACGTAATGTTGCATCCGTTACGTATTTTGGATTTACTAAATGACGCCAATGGCGTTTAGCATCATAATTAAAAATTGGTCAAAGTAACTGAAATTTAATTTCTAAGTACTTAGCGTTAAGGAACTCTCTAAGCAAAATGCTTATAACCTCCTTAATCTTATTTCTAGCATCTAACCTTACATCAACTTCTAATCTTAATCATAACAAAATTTATATGAAAGTATAAGCACATTGGTTTGATTTTTAGTACTACCGTTATATTTTTATCTCATTGTGTCATTGCATTGTTATGTTTAATCACATGCTCATAATAGATAGATTAAAATCATAGAAAATGATCCAAAACGAAAGTTCATTAAATGAATAATCGCGAATGCTGAATCTTGTGCAAGTATTTTAATAATACCGTATGTATGTTTTTGATTTATCGTCATGTATTTGATAATAACAAAAACATTTGATGGTATTTTAATAATGTATGGAAGAAAAGTGTATAAATTTTTAGTAGGTGAACATTTTTATTAGAAATAATGCCGGACTTTATTGCAAAAAAAAAAAAATTCATTATTAGTCAAGATAAATAAATCAATATTGTAAAACCAAAACCACAAAAAACTTGGGAAGATGAGCGTCTGTAAATAGTTATTAATAACAACTATATATGATATACTGTAAATAAGGTAACTGTCACATCCTTCATAAAAACTAAGTTTACCGTTTAAGATATATAATATTGTGATTATAAAAAAAAATGTCTAATATACCGCGTAGCATTTACAGTTTTTATAATACTCTATCGAATTCTTGGATCTAACGATGAAATTTGGTTATTAAAATCGAAGTGAAAAAAAACTTTTATCTTTTAAAACTTGACGGTGTGCGTTACTGAGCCTTTATCTTATGTCCATACCTCCCTATGTTTATACAAAGTACAGATTATAGCTGAGCATTTAATATAAATGTGTGTTATGTGACATAAATTCCTCAGTATTAATAATGCTAGCCGAAATACTTAAACTTATTTATCTTAAATATATTTTATCTGGGCAGGTGATTTATATCTCCTATCATATGAAATTCGTGTCACTGCGTACCTGCAACTTAATGATTTAATTAATTTAATTTCTATTGCATTATTGTTATAAATTTTTGTTTAATCCAATAAATAACTTGAGAAATGTCAAGTTTTTTGAGCTTTTGGATAAACAATTTTTTTTTTTTGTCATTTTAAAGAAGTCTCATTGGAAAAGAAAGTGAAATTGAAAAGGCTGATAGTTCGGTGAAGAGAAGATTATGACATTAATAATTTCCGGAATTCTTTTTGCCGGCTCAAGTCTCTACAATTTATCCATTTCAGCATTTCAAGGTATATATATATTTTACCTATTTTATATATATTTATGCATTAGTAAGTCTATGTATATATACTTATATAGATATAAATATAAATTTATTTATTTTTGATTACAGCAATTTCGGCACTATGGATTTGCCGAAAGGATTTCATCGTGTAAAAGTACTTTTAGTAAAAAAAAAAGCTTTAGTCGAGTCTAAAGATCAATGTTTTTAAAATAAATTATTCCAACTCATACAACTCATAGCAATAATGTTATTTTATTTTTTTTCACGTTAATTTATTCGATGGGTAATAAAAAATATTTATGAACCTACTATTTTAAATGCTGTATATAAAAATCCTTCTGCGCAAGTTAGGGATGGTATAAATTTAAGGGTGAACGGAGATCATTTTTTAATAGTGATCACGTTGTAATCATATGAAATCAGGTGATTGACCAATCAGGATTGTAAAGAACATTGATTTGACCAATCAGAATTAGCAATTTTTGTGCGACCTAAGGAAATTCGGGTTGACCTAAGTTTGTACCACGTAAACATATGAAAATTGATCTACGCTCACCTTACCCTTAAATGACCAGTCATTTGAGGCAATCAGTCATTACGTCATTATCACGTGCAATAATTTTTATTGGTCAAATAACTCATATAAATATTAAGTCAGATTACACGAACGCTAAGTAAATCTGCATAAATTATAACGAGTATAAAATAGCCAACGACACTATTGGTTAAATGTCATGTGATTTGGCAGTTATCCTTAGTTCACAGTGACAATTTATGTACGCTATAAAATTTTCATGACCTTTGATTAATGCGGGTTGATATTCGAAAAAAATTTTAAGTTTCTTCCTTAATAGGTACGTACGTACGTGAGCCAATCAAGGTCATTCAATTAATTAAATTGTCATCGCCAATCTTGACTTTTATATAGCGACGTTGTAAATTGTATATATAGTATCTTATAAAAATAAACTATTCAGTTTTCATATGATTAAACCGGCTTTAACATAAGAAAACTAAAACAGATTCCAATTTCTAGACTCAGGCATTGCATTTTATTGGCATAACAATAGTTACATATATTAAATTTTAGTGGTGTAAATAAAGTGCAGTATGAAGTTTTTATTTAGAAGATTATTTTATTACTGTATATTACCGAATAGAAGCAACTCCCTCTCCAAAAATCTAGAGGTTTTTGTGTTTTAATAATAAAATTAGACCCTAATTAGTGTTTCGGGCGAAATTATTTTCCAAATCCGAAATATTTCGCCCAGAGGAATTTTAGTTTCGCCCTATAAGTCCGAAGCCCTCCGAAATTAGTTTCGCCCAATTTGATCTGCAAATTCGAATTTCGCCCGAAACACTAACCCGAATGGATGCAAACCCTTCAATTAGTTCTCTTTTTTCGGGTAGTTTCAAGAACACTGAACCCAGTGATATATTCGTGATCATCACATCACATGATTAAGTGTTCGGCCTACGTTAGGGTTAGTGTTAGGGTTA